ATTGGCAAGTTAGTAGTCCTGGTAGGGAGCCGAACCCACGCAGCCAGTGGAAACCGCATGGGCCCGGGGACCTACCTTCCCGTCCCTTTGTTTCCAAACAAGAAGGTGAAAAGGGAAAAGAATCCAGTTTATTCGCTCCTGGTGAGATACGTGGATCGTAGCAAAGGGGTGCGAGGCTAGATCTAGCTCCGGGAACAAAAGAGTTTATTTACAGGGGGAAGTGGAACTCACAGCGGTTTCTAAAGATGGGGGATCCTCCTAGTCCGGCCGGCTGAAATGTGTGGTCGCGGACTTGTGGTTAGTGGCTGAGCCCCAGCCGCCGGCCTGCGGGGTCTCAGTGACGCCAAATCCGGCTCCTGGAAGTCGGCAACTTCCCTGCTCTCCCTTTGGCCTCTGCTGGGCCACTGGGTCGACACTGCCTGGAGCAGGTGCCCACAACTGCCAACTACGGCGTGGGGCTGGCGGATCCCGGGTGGGGCCGACGCAGGTTCAGGCCCACGAGAGAGGCTACCCGAGCGCCCTGGCCCCAGGCCCGGTCGGGCTTCCGCCTCGGGCACTCGTGTGTGTATTGTCTCACCTGGGTGTTCGCAATCTCCCGTGGCAGGTTGTGAGGGAGTTGTCCCCTGCAGCTAGGAGTTGAGTGCGCAAGTGACAATAGTTGTGATTCAAGGCCCGCACGTGGGCGAGGTCCCTGGGCACTGGATGGAGAAGGTGGGCGCGCGGCGATCGCAGCTGGAAGGGAGGACCACTTTTCCCAGGACTGTTCGGGTCCTACCACCCCCTCCGTAAGGGGAGCCCACGCAGGGCCTGCAGCTCTTTGGGGGTCCTCCCCGCCGTCTTCCTGTCCGGGCGCGGCAGGGGGAGGGGGTGGCCGCGCGTCGGAGGGACGCGCCTGGGCGCCCCGGCTAGTGGGAGGACAATGACCCCTTCTCCCCGGCCGCCTCCTCCTCCGACGCCCCCCTCTCCCCGCCCCTTCGCAGCCCACAAGCAAACCTATTAGCTATTCAGGCTGACAAAACCCCGCAACCCCGAGGCCCCGCGCATTGTCCCGCGCATTGTCCCGCGCATTGTCCCGCCGAGCGCCCGGCCGCTGTCATTAGCCCTGATTACGCTGAGCCGCCTGACAGCCCGGCGGGCCGCTTGGCAGACCCCCCATTCACCGACGCCCCCGGCCCCGCCTCACAATGGGAGCGGAAATCGTCCGCACCCGGGGTCCCCGCTGAATAGAGCGAAAAGCTGCTTCTCTCCTCCTCTGGGGCCCCAGTCTCATTCTCTTTGGATACAATATTTTTTTGCTTTTTGTTAAAATTAGGGAGAGAGAACGAGGTCAAGGAAGACCTTTGCTCAAGCTTTTTGCCTGTCATTTGTTTAATGTAAACAAAGAGCAAGTTCCCTCCTCCACCCCAGCCTCCCCCCCCCCGTTAGATTTTTATAAACAAACTAGTGAAGGAAGGGGGGAGGGGAAGCTGGTGGGGGCCCAGTGGGTCATTAAAGTGGAGGCCAGGAGCCCTGGCAGTGGGGAATGGGGGCCTTGGATGTTTGGGTGGAACCAGAGTCTGATTCCAATAGTTACACACTGTGAAAGAGTCTGAGCTGAGGCTGGGGTTTAAAACACTCCAGATTTGTGTCTGTTGAAATGTAAAAACAAAATTAAAAATAAAAAGCTTCTTTCTATTCTGCTGCAGTACTATTTGAGGAAATTTTGACAGAAGAATTGCCTGAGTGAAAGGAAACCCATCACGTGGAGATTTCCCTAATCCAGAACCTTCAAGTCTTTTTACTGCCTGCATGTGTTGTTATGGATGTTTATAAATACTCTCTAGGCCAGGATCAAACTGATCCAGGAAAGCATTTAAAAGAAAACTTGTATGATAAAATTGAATTGGAAATTCTAGACTGTTAATATACAAGGGCAGGTGCTCAGTGACAGCGCTTGCCTACTTTGTGCAAGGCCTTGGGTTTGAACACCAGCACTACAAGAATAAAAATAAATATAAAGAAATCTCCGTGTGAAGGTATGGACTGTTTTTTTAACATGTGCCCATCAAAGAATTGATTGTCTACAAAGAGAGTTAGGTGTGACCCAATTTAAGATAAACACAAACAATTTGAAACAATATATCGCTTCTGTAAGGCTTTAAGGTAAAATTAAAGGAATAAATCTCCAGATTGTGGAATTATTATAGCTGTTTTGAGATGTAATTCTTGGCTGCATGTTAATTTAAGTAAATGGCGCATGCCATTTCAATCAAAGCAGAATTTTTTTTAAAGCCCATTGATACTTGACCTTTTCATCTTCTCTAAGCAAGTTACATGTAATTTAAAAATTACTTTGTAAAGGGAAAACTTGCTTTCTAGCTGTGTTACCCCAATTCTTGAGATGGCAGAATGAATACTTCCTTCTGTTTTTAAGTATCACTTGAACTGGTGAGTGGACTGGGATTCTTTGAATCTTAAATTCCTTTATAACATTCCACCAAATAATCCTTTTCCCTGTTAAACCTGAAATCATCAAAGTAGGAGATAAAATTTACCAACAAATTTCTCCAAATATTGGTTTTGGATAAATCTATAGCTAAGATAGGGTGGGGTTGGGGCACAAGATTGGTAATCCCTGAACTTTTCCCTGTACAGCGAGGTTGCTCTACGTATTCAGAACTAGGGTGTGGCAAGAGAGACTCCCTCCCCTCCCCCAGTCCAAAATTTAAGGAGGCATTCAATCACAAGTGTCTTGTACTTCCAAAGTTACTTTGAGAGTGAAGTCCTCCTTAAGTTTTACAACTGTATAGACCATCCTCGTCTCTGAACCCTGGCATTCCAGGAACTATATGGGGCTTTAAATAAAAATTGGGTCTGGAGAGACCTCTATCAACCAAACCTTTCAGGACACACTAAAGGGCATTTACTTGCTTGGGGAAGAACACTAGTTAAAACAAAGACTTTCCCAATCCTTCCATCCAGGTACTCTTCAGGAATTCTCCGGATAAGGGGGATTGTACAAAATGGCAAACATTTAATAAAGCTCAAACAAGCCAAATCTGTTTAAGTGATTTAGAAAGCAAATATCAGCCCTTACTGATGTTCAGGCCTTCTAGTCCATAGCTTTCCATTTGACTCTTTTTTTTTTTTTGGTCTTCTTCATTTTAGTTCTTTTTGTTTGGTTTGTACTTCAGCATTTCTCCCTTAAGAATTGTTAGCAAGTTTCTGACCCAAAGAGCATTTTGACTAGGATTGGTGAATCAAATTAGAAGTTCTCCAAAGGGGGTGACTAGAAGAAAAGTCCAGCTCAAGTGATTGAAAGATCAATGTCAAAATTTGTAATTTGCAATCTGTTTTACTAGGAAACAAGCTTAGAAACTTTGAATAACATTTGTTTTTATAGTACAAGGATGATAAGTTTTTTTTCCCCCAGTGGTGACATGTGAATGTGTTTATGTACTGCAGGTTGAAGAATTAAACACTAAGGGTTTATTTATTTATTTATTTAGTGTGTGTGTCAGTCCTGAGGCTTGAACTCAGGACTTGGGTGATGTCCCCAAGCTTCTTTTGCTCAAGTTTAGCACTCTACCACTTGAGCCACAGCTTCACTTCTAGCTTTTTTTTTTTTTAATTTGTTGGAGATAAGAGTTTCATGGACTTTCCAGCCCAGACGGCTTCTTTGAACCTCCATGGTCAGATCTGAGCCTCCACATGAGCCACTGGCTATTTTATATATTTAATTGAGGTCATTGCCAGGATAATGTAGTTGTGAATTGTTTCATGTTTAATGTGGAGATCAGAAAATGTCAGTTATTTCCTGAAGACTTGTTTCACCCTCCATGTATAACAAGATTACATACTATACCAAACCTTGAGATTTTTCTTGTTGAAAATTATTCATTTGAAAATAACCCACAGGAAGATAGGGTCCTTCCTGCAGCAGGAAGATCTTATTCTAGTTATCTCCAGCCTTTTGTATTTTTGTTTTGGTCTTATTTAAATAAAAGCTCAAGTCTAACCACAGTACATGCTTACCTAGCCTGGTCCTATGTATGCATTGGTTTTAAATGGGAGGGGGCCACAGAAGAAGTGGAAAGCCTCTTTATTTACAGAACCTGTGTGTTAGAGTAGTTTTGCATTTTAAATAAAAAGATCCACTATCTGAGCCCCATGTTTGGCTCTCTTATTTTTTTCTGAAAACTGTTAACACTTTATAAAAATGGATACCAAAAGATAATTCATAATTACGTATGCTGGAGACATGGGAGATGGCCTTACAGAGCACGCTCAGGTCGCCAATTTCTATGCTTAAATATGATGTGTATATATGTATGTACATGTGTACACACAAACATATACATAAAATTTGATCTGGTAGGCCGTTGTAGACCTATCAAGTGGCTGTTTGAAAATTTTATACACAGGGAAACATCACAGAAGGCATATGATACAGAGAAGATCTGGTAAGACTGTTTGGACAAGATTTCAACCCTATATGCCTGATAAAGAAATGAGAACGATTTAAAAAGAATCTAAGATAACAGGTCCCTTCATGAAGAAAGATTGCCCACCAAGTTGTTTTATTGTTTGGCTTCTCTACACAGTGGGCACCCACTTGACCCAGGAAGTTCCCCACACTACAGAGAAACCTACCATGGCAGTCAGTCCTTAAATAAGTAAATAAACAGCATATATATGTTTTCTTTAAAAAAACACTTTAAAGCAGAACTTATACATACATACATACATACATACATATATATCAGCGTCCTTTCGACATGAAATACCCACAGAAGATTCAAGGCAGATGCTCAGCGTGCAGTTCGGGTTCCCAAGGCGTCTTTTGCCGCAAAATCCTTCAGAAAAAGCAAAGCAAAGAGAAGGTGGCCCTGGGCCAGGCCTCACCGCGGGTCCCGGTAGTGGAAGCCAGCCGGTGCCCCTGGCGCAGGGCAGACGGTGGAGCCGACACTGCAACTCAAGCCCACGGGTCCCTGGCCACCTGACTTCCTCCAGCGCTGGATTTGTTGTTCTCTCGCCCTTTCTCCTTTCTGTATTTTGCTTATCACTTTTCACTGGATTCTGTTTTCTGAGTGTGATGGGTGGGCAACTCAGATGTCACATTCACTGTCGCTGGACGTGATGGAGATGGCCGAAGTGGCCGCCTTGCTGGATAGACTGGCAGCGGGGCTGGCGGCACCGCCCAACACCTCTGGCGCGCCCTCGCCCTCGGCCCGCGGCGCCCGCCCGGAGCCCTGCGACAAAACCTGCTGCTGGAGTCTGGGGGAGGGGGGAGGGACGGGAAGGAAGGGGACACGGGTCACAGTGCGTAACTTAGCCACTCCTGAGTCTCCTTTTCCTCCTAGTCTGCCTCCCTCCAGCCCCAGCGTTGGGATCTTCCTCAAACCAGGACACCTTGGGTGGAGGAGAACAGAGGACCGAGGCCCAGGCCCCGCAGGAGTCTGCGGCGGCTTCCTGCGGTCCCACCCTTCTTGATTCCCCTGCCTTGGGGATGCTGGGATCACTGGGTCTTTCTGTTAGGGCCCACCTTTGGGAGACTGACAGGACTGACAGGAAACAGCCGACCGACGACTGGGACGAACAGATAGGCTCCAAGATAGGGAACTCCCTTCCCAAAGGTTCATCTGCCCGAGGCTCACGCTTGAGGCCGGGTCTGCTCAGGCTAAGGGCAAAAACTGCCTGAGGTTTGGTTGCCCTGGGAGTTTGAAACGAAGTGTTGGGCTCATTGAGATCCATAAACTGGGAAATGGGACGCTTTGGATCGCTCTTAGGGGACAAGGTTAGCTAGGCGGCGGGAAGAAGAAAAAGTCGCTTTTTCCGCCTCTGAGGAAGAGGTACTTTGGAAAACTGCATTGCGCAAGGAGACACCTGGGATTAAAAAACAAAAAATCTCACAAAGCCGACCCACGGCAAACGAGCCAGATTTCAATTCGAATGGTAAGAGGCTGGGCCCAGGGTCACAAGAAGTAAGCTTTGGGTGTTGGAGTCAATGAATTAAAATTGTTCTGGGATTTTAGTTCTCTCCCATTCCAATGAAGCCTTGGTTTTGGTGCCTAGGAGCAGCTTTTGCCTGGCTCCCAGAGCCAGGTAAATGAGAGGGTAGAGAACCAAGGAGCGAGGAAGGGAGCCCTCACACTGGAGTCCAGAACTTGGACTCTGACACCGAAGACAAGACCACACTCCCAACTCCTGCAGAATCGGAAATCTCCTGACCCGGAGAAGGGCGCCGGGACAGCCTCCCCCAAACCCTCTCGGGCGTGCACAAAGGCCTCTAGGTACCAACCTGTTCTTAGCTGCGGCCGCTCGATCCCTTTGTCGGCGATTTTTGAACCAGTTGCCCACCTGTGTGGGGGTGAGTCCGGTGGCCTGGGCGAGCTCCCGCTTTTTGCTGGGGTTGGGGTAGGGGTCCTGCAGGTACCACTCTCGGAGCAGGTGCCGAGTGCGCTCCTTGAAGCAATGCGTCTTCTGTTCGCCGTCCCAAATGGTACGGGGCAGAGGGAACTTCTTCCTCACGCGGTACTTGTCCACGGGCCCCAAGGGCCGTCCACGGAGCTTCTCAGCCTCCTGGTAGTGCGCCTCTAGCCACAACGCCTGCAGCTTGGCGTGCGACTCCTTGGTAAACTTGTGGTTTTCGAGGATGTGGTAGAGCTCGCGGTAGTTGCCGCCGTGGAAGGCCACGATGGCTCGTGCGCGCAGCACCGACTCATTCTTGTTGAGGGCCTCGCAGGCCGCAGGGGCCACAGGCAGCGACCACAGGAAGCGACCCAGCCGCTCCACATCGCCACTCTCCTCCAGGGTCTCGCATACCCCGGCCACTTGCTGGGGGCTGAAATTCAAGATAGGCAGCTGGAACATCGAGGAAGCGCCGGCGGCAGCGGAGGGGACACGGAGCCCCGGGAGGGCGGGCCACTCAGCAGATGTCTGCAGGCCTAGCAGGATGCGCCAGGCTCTCCTGGGTGTGGTGGCTGGGGGGGTGACACCGCCACGAGCGAGACGGTCCCCGTCTGGAGGAGGTGTGGGCTGCTGGGCTAGGTTTCGGCACCGCTCTCTTCCCGCATGCAGGCAGGCTCGCAAGCGCTGCTACTGGGGTGGGAGGACTGGCAGCGCCGGCGCCATGGAGACCCCCCTGTCAGTCACTGGCCAACTCTGCCAATCAAGGCTGCGACCAGAGCGCCTGGGCCATTTCAGCACCTCCCCGTACCCGACAGCGCCCGCCGTTTGTGGGTGGACTTATCCTCAGTATTTTGCAGAAGCTGGAGGATGAAAAGGACGGATCGAGTGGCTGGGAAGAGCACACAAGCGAGGACCGCGGCGTTTCTCTCTCTTTCCTTTCGCTCCCAGCCTTCCTCTCCCTCTTGTTTTCCCACAAAAGAGGCAGGGGTGCTACTGGAATTCGATTTTGAGGGGGGAGGGAGGGCCGGGGACGATGCTATGCTTCTGATGCTATGGACAGATCTCCTGAAGACAAAGAGATTTGGCCCCAAACTCAAAATCCTCGAGGAACTGTCTAATTTAGTTGTAAGGAAACAGAAAACCGTTGGGGATCTCACGCACCACGAAGAGGGAGAGGAAAGAGAGTGGATTTTGCCAAGTCTTCTAAGCATCCATCCCTGCATCCCGCCCCGACCCTCCCCCCTCCCTTTCCAGCTGCCAAAGCAGCTGAGTGAGAAACTAATCTGCAGCCGAAGGATCAGGACCAGGGATCTGTAGAAGAGGTCAGTTTGACTCTATTCCCACTCCCTTCAAAAACTTCCTAAAACTATTGTAAATAAAAGCAGGGACATGCTCACAGTTGGAGATATAGACACTGACCACAAAGTCAAATACTTGAAGTCAGGTGGGCTGGAGAGATCTCACACGAATAAATACTATACTTTTAATCCCCTCCTCCCCTGTTTAATGGACTTGAACAAATGTGCAGCATAGCCACATTTAGAGTGAGAAGTCATTGCTAGGTCAGGACAGCGACTTAAAAGCTCATTTCAAAGATCTTTTAGAAAATATTGATTTACTTCTCTTCTGGCAGCCTAATTTTGACCCCTCCCCTCACTATTAGAACATAACAACTCTTGAGCTTGAGACAGCAATGTTGCCTTGTTAACCTAAAAGCAATTCAGTAAAAGTAAAAGAGAGGAGACCCACAACAATGTGTTGGAGGGGGGGGGGTAGTGGTAGTGGTGACTAAAAAACAAAAACAAACAAAAACCCTATTTCTTAAGCCATTGGCCACTGATGCCTCCTGCAGAGAAGGGCCTTGGCAGCTCTACCTTCTGGACATAGGCTGAATTGGCAACTTGTATTGATTCCCAATTGACATCCACATCATACCATATTCTGAGGCCTCCGCCACAGAAACCAAAGCAACTCTCATCTGGGCTTTTGATAAGGCGGTTATTTAGTTGGAAGAAAATAACTTGATTGATGGGGTATCCAACAAAAATGCCAGAAAGTTTGGGGGAGGCTCATCTGACCAAAAATCAGATGGAAAAGTTCACCCCCAAACTGGACTGGGCCAGGCTCTTTTTTCTTTAGTATCAAGTACAATTTGTATGCTGCTTGTTCAGATCTGGTAAATCAGAAGGCAGATAGATAGCACAGATGGTTGGAAGTGTCGGGTCAGATCATGCTACGCCTGAGTGCAGGGCAAAGCTCGTTCTGACGGAAAACCCTGATATTATTTTCACAGATCTTCACAGTTCACTCAGAAAAAAAAAAGCAGAGGGGGGAGAAAGCCCTGCAACCATTTACATCATTCTGCAAGTTTTCCAGCTGCCTCAATAGAGAGGCTTTCTTTTCTAAGAGCTCATTTTCTTGAAATGCGACAGGGCAGGGCAAATAAAGAGGACATTGGGAATAATGACAATGCATAAATCTTTCTCTAGCTCAGAGGGACTTCCGAATCACCCCCTGGACAAGTTTGAGTGAGAAAAGTAGCACACAGGGACTCAGAATGCAGAAGCAGAAGAGAATCTGCGCTGTGAAAACCCCTAAAGACCAGGCCGTTAGGGCAGGGACCAAGCTAACTGCATTCCCCAAGCCTGCTGGCCAGGGAAGGAAAACACACCCTTGCTTCAATCTCCAGGGTTTACTTTATTCCCAGGACCCTACTACGAGTCCCAAGCAGACCCCAATTCTAGCGCTGCTGTGGAGGGAGAGGCTAATCCCTGCTTAGTTTCCCCACAGCTCTTTTGCTGCACATGCAAGGTTTAAAACGGAAGGATTCGGGGAGACTTGGCTTTTACCTTTAATTTTCCGAGTCTGGGAGCCCCATCTGGGAAAATTGAATAGTTAGCCTACTATCTCAACTTATGAACGCTCCGATTGCTTTAGCTTTTGTGTATTTGAGGCTTGTGTGCATCTGGAATCTAGAGGTCTGGGTTAGCAGCAGCGTCAAAGCCGCAAGGAGGAAAGGAGCAGGCTAGTTACCCGAGGGAGGGGTCTTGACATACACGGACATCCTATTTTCTCCATCGCTGGGAATTTGATTTAATTTTATTAACTCAAAGGAAAATTTATTAACTCAAATGGCCCATTCGAATCACTTATTCGTTCATCAGTTTCACACAGAGACAAACAGGAAAAAATGAATGGGTTGCATTCTCATCCTTGGAATATTCAGAAGCTTCCTGGGGTTTCTTAGAAATAATACTACTGAGAAAAGCATAGTGACCCTTACCCTGCCCTCAAAGAGTACTTACTGCGGGTTTGCCAAGGCGGAAGGTTGGATTTTGGTTGTGGCAGGCAAGATAGATTTTTAAGAAAATCCAATTCATGGGCTTTGTGCCAACCCTGTAGGCAACCCTCCACTCCACACACCCCATCCCCCCATTCTTTTTAATGAGAAAATAGAAAGTGCAGCAGCAGCCCTTGGCCTCAGACTTGTCTGGGCGGCTTCACAACTTTCTAAGGGTGGTCTGCTGCTAAGAGATTCAGAAGCAAAGAGTGAGGGAGCAAATGCGTCTCTTGCTGGGAATCCAGAGAACTCTATTCTGCTCTCTTTGGAGTCAGAGACTGGGGAGAACAGGGAGAGGGGCCACTGGCCTAGGACAGATTCTACGTGGAACTGTTCAGTGCTGGAATTGTGAGGTTTTACGCTAAACATTTTTCAGAGACTAGTGCTGCACTCCTGTTCATGTGGGAATCACATCTATGGTTCTGAAGTTATTGATTACTCTCTCTGATGTAGCTCACTTTTGTCACAGTGCAGTGCATATAAGTCAGCACATCCTTACCTCGGGATTCTATTCTTTACTTTTTTTTTTTTTAAGATTGCACTTTTACTACCTCAAATGCCTTAAAAATATTCTGCTCTTCCAGGTAATTTTGCAGTCAGGATTTTAAGTGTGTCGTAATTGAATCTATCAGAATTCCTTGATTAAGATACTGGCACTGCATCTTGGAGTGCTCCTGTTTTTTGTGGGTCCATTTGAATTTTTGAAAAAGATCTTCGTTTCCCTTTCCTGTGATTAAAGCCTAATGTTGATGGTGAGAGCTGATTTTTTTGTTTTCTTAATTTTTAACCTCTAATTTAGAAATTATTTAAAAAGTAGTGACAAGTTAAAACATTTGAGTTTAGCCATAGAATCCAGAAAGGTTAGTTGGCATTTTACAGTCCTTGGAATAAGACTAATAAAAATTTCATATTTTCAAATACTTATCCATCAATTCAGTAACCTAGTTTTCAGATGATACTTTGCACATAGAGGAGCATGGTTTGTTTGTTTTTTAAAAGTGAATTCAGTGGACCATATCAGATAGAGTTCTATACTCCATGACTTACTTCCTGGGTGTACACTGTGTAACAGAATTATTGGAGGCACCCAAGAACAAACATGATTTGAGAAATGCTTTACAGATGTCCCAGTACTGTGAAATTAACTGGCAAATAAAAGCATTCCAAAGAAAGTATCAATCTAATTTTAAGGAATCAGGATATTTTGAGATTATTTTTGGTATTTTCCCCCAGCTGTCTTTAAAAATGATATTTTAAAATGACACAAAATTGCTTCTGCTGGGTAAACAGAAGAAAAATTCAAAATTTAAGTGTAAGAAATGTGCTGTTTCAAAGTGGTGTTAGTCAGTAGTAGGTTTGTTTTTTTAACATTATACAACTCTGTTTTGACTTCTAGTTTGTGGTGCATCCAAAACTTTGGATGAAAATTCATATTTGTAAAAAGTATATTATGAGTTATAACCCTTGTGATATAGGCTATGGACTTAAATTTGCATTTTTCCATCCTGCTCCTTTAGGTAAGTCTGCATGTACACAGGTATAACTACTGCATGACTTGCTCAGTGTATCAATGGGCTCCGGTCTGAGGGATTAATGCTTAACAATGTGACCAGCCTGTCATTTATAAACACAGTATTATCAATAATGAAACACTAATTTTGTGACTGAAAAATGGTTAAATCGCAGTTCTCTATTGTAACATTTTTCCACCAGTGGGTATGATTATTTTTACTATTTGCAAATATAAGATCAAGTTATCTTTGTAAATTATGCATAAAAATTTTAAAATTGCATGGCATACATGACTGTAAATTTGCTTAGTGTAAGTTTGTTTAATGTCCTCAGGGACTTAGACAAATATTATTCACATTAATTTGTACAGGTCATATACATAAAGTATACGTAGTAAATATATATTATTATTTTACTAAGTCATTCCTTTCCGTACATTGTAAAGTCAAATAAGGACATTAGCCTTTTAAAAATACCTTAAATTCTTTGAGTTAATAGAGCCAGCTAGCAGAAAATAAGTTTAAAAATTGCACTATAGAATAATATATTTATATGACCTTTTATCTTTCCAAGTAGTCATTCTCAGTTGAGGGCAATTTTGAGCCCCTACTCCTCCTTAAGGAGATTTGGCACAATCTGGAGATATTTAGAGGGTTCAAGCCAGAAAGACTGCTAACCATCTTACACTGGAACA